CCTGCTGAAAGACCTGGATAAAGGCGAGGGCCTTTCTCCTGATGAGGTAGCTTAGTTGCGCCGCACCACGGATCTCGCTCTCCGTGCTACTAAGCAGGCCGCTTCTGCTATGGGCAGATCCATGGCGGCTATGGTGGTAACGGAGAGGCATCTGTGGGTGAACCTGGCAGACATCGGGAAGAAAGAAAGGGGCTTTCTTCTTGATGCCCCGGTTTCGCCCTCTGAACTTTTTGGTACCTCCATTGAGACGGTGGTCGGGAAGTTCAGGGAGGGGAAGGCGCGCTCAGCGGCGTTCAAATCCTTCATTCCACGAAGGTCCAGGTCTGAGCCCGAACAACGTAGGGGTCCTGGCCCGTCTCGGTTTGAGGATCAGAGACGAGCACAGAAGGCTAGTGTCGCGACTCGCACTCCTCCCCCCTTCCTAATTCCCCTGTAACCACCATCTCTGCACCTGACCGAGGTTAGGTGGAGGCTTCCTGCATAACAGTCTCCTTCTGGACCCATGATGTTTTTGGTTGGTTCTATGGCTTCACAGTGACCACCTTACTGATGGTCCGGTCTAGGGGCTTCTCCGGACAGGGCTCTGGCGCGGGAACCATGGTGGGTGAGTACGATCCATTTCTAAAAATAATATATATATATATATGTGATTTATGCGAGCTGGTGGTTGTGTATATAACCCTTCTGCTAGCTTTCTTTGCAGTGTTTCCCGGGACCTGTGTGTTTCTGTCCTTTTTCTAGGGTAGGTCCTCGGTGAGCACCCCCTCTGCTGGATTCAGAAACCGGGTGCTCGACTCGCAGTGTCTATCTCACTCGTCGATATATGTCCAGACGGTATGATAAGCCAGGTTTTTCGGCTTCATACTTCCTGGACCATGCGGCCGGATCACAGGCTTCTGCGGGAGCCTTCTTGATCATCAGGCCCCTGGGCACAGCACTGCAAAAAATTTCCTGGATGTCCGGGCTGGGCTTATGTTTTCAGGCTGCCCTGTCTGGTCCATCGTATCTAGGTCGCCCTGAGGGGCCTCCCGATCACCAGGATATCCCCACTTGCTGAGGCATCGAGCGGGAAGTATAGTTGGCATTTACGAGAACCTCCTTGGGTAATGCTGTCTCAGGCAGTGCTCCCCTCACTTTAGAGGGTTGTATTTGAGCTTGCCTCTCCTGTTTGGCCCAGTACTTCCGGGTATCTGTGAACAGATGCTTGGAAAATTCTAAAATCCATACTATGGTAAGTGCACACGTTAAGCTTTGCACAATTTCTAAAATCCACATAAGTGGTAAGTGTGCACATTATGCTTTGTTCACTTTCTAAAATCCACATAGCTGGTAAGTGGGCACGTTATGCTTTCCCCACTTTTCTAAAATCCACATAAGTGGTAAGTGTGCACGTTATGCTTTGCCCACTTTTC